CTTTGAGCACTCTTGAATAAGATTAGGGGTGAGTAAATAATCCGTCAATCCGGTCCGAACCAATCCGATCTGTGTGGTTCGGTTTGGTTTTCAGATCTAATGGTTCGGTAATGGTTTGAAAAATCTGCAATCCGATATCCGCGGTTCGGTTAACGGATTGGACCATGAAAAATCCGATCCGAACCGTTAACCGATCCGAACTGAACCATTGTCAACCCAAACCGTTAGACAACCGAACCGAACCGTTGCTAAATAATATATATATATATATATATATATATATATATACAATACACCGTATTTTTTTTTCTTTATTCATTTTTCTATTAATGTTAACCTAACCCTAATTGAGCCTCGATTCTTCATTACTCACTTTACTCCAAGCGCCTCCCTCACTAACTTAGCCTCTTCTCGCCTCTGTAAGTCTCGCCTTTGTCTTCCTCTCGCCTCCCAATCTCTCGTCTCTCAATCCAACACCTCTCAACCATCGTTCACCAGATTCGAAGCAACGGCGACCTATGCGTATCGAAGCAACGGCGACCTCTTCGACTGGATCTACCTCTTTTCCGGTGAGTTCACAAGATTTTTGCATGGATCTTCTTATTCTCCTCTTCTTTGAACCAAATTTTTTGTATAGTTTTATATATATATTTTTTACTTAATTTTCTTTGTTGATTTTTCCGTTGTACTCCTTACCGGGGTTAATATTTTCAGTAGAATTGTTAAAAATGTCATATCACGAGGTAGATCTAGATGGTTTGCTACTTTAACCATGAGCTAAACTTTTTTGTGGTTCAAAGGATTTTCATCTTGTCAGAGCCTGTTGGGTTCTACACAATCGTCCAACTTCACTTTTTGAAATCCAACTTCTCACTGTTCCACACAATCATATTATTAAGAATTTTGCTATAATAATAGAAATGCAAAGGAAACTAATATTATTAGAAATCCACGTATCATGATTTTTTTTCTTTTAGGGCTGAATTTTCCACTCCACTGATTTACAAACATGTTTAATTCTCACTGCAATCTTCCACTAATTTTTGTAGCAATTTCTTTTCCTGGATGATGACAACTGGAGAAGAGATACTAATGTTTCAAGGCCTGAAGCCCACAATCAGCCCAATCCGGGGAACCGATCCGTTAACTAACGGATCAGTTTGGTTCGGATTGAATGCATCCATGGATCGGTTCGGTTTCAGTTTTAACCAATCTGTGGGGACCGGTTTGGCTTGGGATTTATCCCCAAACTGATCCGAACCGAACCGTGATCAGGCCTAAATAAGATGACCTATTCTTTTACAATAATTATATTTAGAATTTTTGTTCTTGCTCTTGACAAAGTAATTAGCCAAGGACTCTCTTTTATTCAATAGACATGCTTTCTTGTCAAAAGGGTCATATCCTAATCCATTTTTATTGAAAACACCTCTTTGAGCACCTAGCATAAGTTCTAGATTTTTGGTACCTTGAGTGAACTTAGCTAGACTATCAATTTGGTCTTCAATGATTAACTTCAAGGATTCATTTTCAGATATGAGTTCAGGTGGTCCTGTTTCTTTAAGTAAAATACATTCCTTTTTCAAGCACTCATTTTCATTTAGAAGAGTTTGAAGTTTGTTTTCAAGGATAAGTTTTTCTCTTCTTTGAGAAGCACATTTTTTTTTACCATTTTACCTAGTTCATCATGCAATTCTTTGAAGCCATCAAGTAAACCATTATATGCATCAACTAAATCATCATAAGCAATTTCATTTTTAGAAGAGGAGTCAAAATTAGAATATACCTCATCCCTACTCGCCATGAGACAAAGAATGGATTTTTCCTCATCACTTTCGGATCCATTTGAGTCGTCATCTTCCCAAGTGGCTTGCATTGCTCTTTTCTTTTTCCTTTCCTCCTTGTAGGCATGGCAATCAGCTTTAAAGTGTCCCAGTTTTCCAAAATGAAAATAGGTGGGGGAGTCACGTTTGCCTTGCTCATTAGAGGATTCTCCCTTTTTGAACCTTCCCTTGTTGAATTTCTTCCTATGAAGAAATCTTTTGAAGGATTGAGTAATAAGGGCTAGATCATCATTTTCACTTTCGTTGCCGGAAACTTCCTTTTCAAATTGAGAGGCTTTTAGAGCAATTTCTTTCTTTCGATGATGATTTCCTTCTCTATCTTTTAGAGTGATCTCCCATGTGAGAAGAGAACCGAGAAGTTCATCCAGCTCAAGTGTATTGAGGTTATGAGCTTCCTTGATTGCAGTTGCCTTAGCATCCCATTTTTCAGGTAAGCTTCTAAGAATTTTCCTTGCAAGATCAGAATTAGTCATAGTTCTGCCAAGGTGTTTTAAGCCATTAATAATGTCAGTAAATCTCACGAACATTGTACTAATAGACTCATTTTCATTCATGCAAAATAGTTCATATTGATGCATAATGATATCAATTTTGGATTCCTTAACTTGTGATGTCTCTTCATAGGTAATCTGGAGTTTATCCCAGATTTCTTTAGCTGTGGTACAGGTAGAGACTCTATTATATTCATTAGGACTTATAGCACAATTAAGATTGACTTTGGCTTTAGCATTCAAGGAGATAAGTTTATAATCTTCGGTGTTCCATTCAGCTTCAGTCTTAGGGACTCTTGCAGCACCAAATCCTTTCATTGGAACAAAAGGTCCATTAACAATAACCAACCAAATTTGGTAGTCCACGGATTGGAGGAAGTCTATCATTCTATTTTTCTAATACTCATAATTTGTTCCATCGAACCAAGGAGGTCTAGTGTTGGACTGACCTTCTTGAAGAAGGTGACCATTTAAGTTTGCCATGATCGATCTCTAAAACACTTAAGTTATTTCAATAGAGACCAAGCTCTGATACCAATTGTTGCCCAAGTATAGACTCTTAGGGGGGGGGGGGGTGTGAATAGAGTTTAAGCAAACTAAAGTCAATTTTTCAATATTGATTTATCAATTAAAGTTAAACTTAACTTCTTTGGCAAATATTGAATGATGCAAACTGAATTTAAGCATTAATTGTCAATATTTATGAAGAGGCATATCAAGACATACATGAAGCAATAAATATGAGAGATAAAGATAAAAGTTGCAAACATGTACTCAGTGATTTTAGCGAGGTTCGAAAACTCCTACTCTTCGGCTCAAAACCCCTCTTGAGACTTCCCAATTCACTAAGGCTTCTCCTTGCGGGTGGAGAGCAAACCTTTTACAAGAAGCACCTTCTAGCTTCTAAGTGCTAAGAGATACACCTTTTCTTAGTCTTCCTTGAGCCACACCAGCTCTTATAAGTTTTTGAAATATATAGATGAAGTACAAGATGATCTCTCTTTCAGATTTGAAGTACAAGATATAGCTCACTCTAGAGTATATATAAATAACTTGAAGCTCAACTCTCTTTTATGATAAATGATGTGTATAAAATGATGATAAAAAGCTTTGATTGCTAGTTGAACTTTTTCAATAATTTCTTCTAGCTTTTATGAAGTTATTCAGTCATTATATACACTTTCAGATGATGTCTGATATTTTTCTAGCTGTTGGATACACACCCCAAGACAGAAATGCCTGTTAGAATTTTAAAATGCGCAGCTTTGGTCGACCGAAGTGAAACTCCTTTGAGTTTCGGTCGTCCGAAATGGTTTTCTGTTTGGACACCCTTCTTAGTACTTTAGCTTCGGTAGACCGAAGAGGAACCCATGTTTATTTCGGTCGACCGAAATAGTTTCAGGATTGAAATTCACCCTCTTGGTATTTCTATTTCGGTAGACCGAAGTGAACTCTTAGTTATTTCGGTCGACCGAAATAACTATTAGTTGGATCTGTATATTCAACTGAAATGAAATGATGATTTATTTCGGTAGACCGAAATAACTTGAAGCTTTGATCCTAACTCTTGGTTCATTTTGGTAGACTGATATACAAGTGCTTCTCATTTCGGTAGATCGAAATGGATTCTCATTTTCAGATAAGGATATGCTTAGGTCCTTTGTTCCTTAGTCATGGTGATTGGGATGAAATGTATAATGTTGGAGAGTTTGAACTTCAAGATATTCATATACACTTTAACAAGGCTTCCTAAGAAACTCACCAACCTAGCTAACCCCATTTTGATAACTTGTGATGACTAGACTTTGACTTTTGATTGCTTAGTCCTTTGATCATGCCTTGGTGTTGTTTCTTCAAATTCGTCCTTGTATTATAGTGCTTGTTTTGATGAATCATTTGCTCTGTAATTTCACTCAAGAAGACATTAGTAATCATAGAACATTATTAATGAATTATAATCATCAAAAACTTTTGATTCAAGGTCAACATAGGAGAAATGGAGGTTTGGGCTTTAGAGGGATTTGGTGCTGCTCATATTTTAAAAGTGATGCATACTTATAAATCTGATCATATTAAAGCTCACCAGGATGTAGCTGCTGGATTTTATTTTCCTACTTTTGAGTTTTAGTTGTGAGGGAATGAAAGTGATCTTCCATTCAGCTTTTGTTTCAACATATGGTTACTCATCTATGTGGTGGCAGATCATTCATATTATAGCTATAGATTGCTAGTTGCCCGAAAATGTGTTGTGTTGAATTGTTTGAAACTATGAGGCATCTGGTGGAAGAAGAGTGCACCTCAGTTATTGTTTGAAGTTGCTGCTGTGTTGCCCATTCATATTGTTGTAGCTATAGGTTGTTACTTGCCCAAAATGCGTCATGTGTTGAATTGCTTGAAATTACTGAAGCATATGTAGGAACTGCTATGTTGGGTTTTTAAGCAAAGTAATTTATTTTGCTAGGAAAAAATGAATGTTTTCCCTTACAATTAACACTGCATTTATATATTCTCATTAAAATCAGTATATGCATGCATAGTACTTAATGTACTCAAGTCACTCCTTTGGGAGTTTCTTTTAGGAGTTTCTTGTCGATTAGTTGTTGAGGTAGTGTGTGCTTAGAGTTTATTTGTAAATCGACTCACATTACTCTTTTTCTTTATGCAGCTAAAGCCATATGCCTCGCAGTGCCAAAGATAAGTTCAAGCTACAGAGGCAGCTGATTCACCCAAATAAGCCAATCTTTTGCATAGTCTTTCGGCTGACTACTTGCATTTTGGTGGTGATGAAGGACAATTTTATTATCTTTTACAGAAACACCCAAACAGTTATGAACCTTATTTTGAAATAGGGACACATACTTACATGTAGAAGGTTTCTTTCAGGGAAAATTTAATAAATGACAACTTCTTTTGGATACATTACAAATACGACCATGTCCAAAAAGAATGGATGAAAGGTGTCACTTTAACTAAATGTATTACAAATATGATAACTTTACAATAGTAATATTGAATTTGACAAAAATCTATACATTTTAGTCCAAATTACCCCTTCACATTATGCGAATTGACTTCTAAACCATTCTTGAACAGCAACCACAACCCTCCACTACCACCTGGAATTTAGAGAGGGTATTTTTGTAATTTAAAAAATAATAATTTTTTATTTTTAATTACTATTAAATGATAAGGTCAAATTTGTTATTTTATAGCCTGGTTAATGGGTTGGATTCGGATATTGGGCCAATATGATAACTTTTTAAAAATGTTGGGGTTTTTAGAAATAGGTTGAAATTTTATGATCAAAGATAGAAATTAGTGGGGGGTGATATGATTTAAGCCCAAATTATTATTTGAACTTTTATCCTATTACACGCATTATGGAGGATGAGATTAACTCAATAATATAGACCACATATGTTGATGGTTAATCTCAAACCCTTTCCGGCACACTAAAAACTACATTAATTTAAAGTTGGGTTTTGATTTCTTTCATTTTATATATATGGTGAAAACATATCAAAAGATCAAAGTTCACTCGAGATATCTTAACCCTATTTATTTTCATTTTAAACTTATTTTCTTTAGGTCATAGTAAGAAAAAGAAAAAGGAAAAAAAGACGGCTTACTTGAGATAAGAAAATTACACTGTCTTTAACATCATCATTTGTTGATTTATCCTTTCTACAAAAGAAAATAGTATTTTGCACCAGACCGCAGTGTGAGTGTGGGAATGGTGCGGATCCCTTAATATAGGGTTTGTGGGCCCTCTGCCACACTCACAGTTAGGGATCCGAATCTGCTCCAGTGCACCTCTCACTGGAGCAGATCTAGTGTAGATCTAAGGCCACCTCAGCCCATTTGCCACATCATCGTCCAATCAGCATCCAGTCAGCACTCGGTCAACATTTACATAAAAAATTTACTGATGTACTATTTTCATTTACCACATGTATGAATACCCCATACACTTATACTAATATACCATACACTTATACATTATACAAAATCAGAATACATAATTTACAATTACATTTAATATATATATATTTTTTGTTAAAAATTCCTTTCAACTTTACCTTTGGCTAAAATTACCGAACCCTAATCTCTCTCTTCTGGTCGTCATCTTTGTCAGCGTCGTCTGAAGTTCCACTGTTCTTCTTCCTTCCAACTCCTGTAGTCTCCTCTTCGTCTGAAGTTACCATGCCTTTTCCAGTTGATTCCACTCTCTCCATTTACATGCCTTCACTTTCGTTTCTGTGTAATTCATTATATACATACATATATACATCTATATATATATATTGACGAATACTGTTCAAAAGAGATTGAGAAATGATTGGAGTGGGTAGATCTCTATATTTCTCTCTTTAGAACTGTTGGTGTCGGTGGAGTGAGAGAGAGTAGTTCACAGCTGCTGCTACTTTCGTCCCTTGTAAGCCAATTTTCTTACTATTTCTTCTACAGCTATGCAGATAGAGAGAGAAATTGTAGAGAGAGACACGAATTATTGAGACATATATGATATAACTCTCTACCAACATTCACATCGAGAAAGAGATCGAGAGAGAAAGAGAGCTTTACTCTTGCTCGTCTTCTGCTTCACTAAAATTGATTCACTCTTTCTCTCTTTTCACCTCTGCAACATTAGCTGAAATTCAAATTGATCTTGATCAACCGAGCTTCACATTCAGACGAATTCAATCGATTCCGAGTACATTGTGTTGTTTGACGATTTGTGAATTGCGACAAAGATAATTAGATCCTGAGGTATTCACTATGTTTCGTTATGTATTGCTCTTTGCAAATGGGTAATTTTTTTTTTTTTTTTTGGGTGTAAAACTATAAATAATATGTGGTTTATGGGATTAATCGAGATTTTACTTTCATCTATCTCCTTTGTTATATAAATTGGGCACTTTTTCTTTATGATGCATGTAATTTATAAGTTTTGGGAAACTTCTGAAAAATGCAATCTAATTCTCAGTTTCCTTTTAGGTGTCACTCGCAGATATGGAAGACTAAAAAAAGGAGATTGTACTGCTTTCTATGCATATGGAGAAGTGTGCAGCTTTAGGCACTCAGTTTCCTACCGGAATAGATGATCGGAGCTTCAGCTTCTTGTTAGAAGCCCTGATCGGAACTGCAGTTTCTCGCCGGAATGTATGGTGATTTTTCCGAACGGAGCTTCTGAACAAGGACCTTCTCTTCAGAAATCTTTGTGTGTCTAAACAGGGACCTTCTCTTCAGAAATCTTTCCCTTTATGTGTTTAATGTATTGGTTGCCTTCTTACTCGGTTTCCTTTTTCCTTGATTGAACTATTGGATGTTTGAGAAGAGAGTTGTGGAACATTTACAGAGCAGAGGCGTATATCTGTATATATATATCAGTATCAGTTTTAGGGGCAAACTTAATTTTGGTTTTGGGGAGAATTTTAACTTGAAAATGAAATACAGTTTGAGCAGAAAGGGTACAGAAAGGGAAAGGTTACATACAGAAAGGGCGTACATTACAGAAAGGGTATAAGCAAAACTACAATAAAATCACATTTCACCTCCCTTGCCACATTAGCCGCAGGGCCCACCACTGGACCAGTTCCAGTGAGAAGCGAATGGAGACGATTTTCTTCCCACAATTAGGGCCAGCCCTTAGGTGGTGCCACCACATGGGGTCCTCAAATTTTTTTGTGAGCCCATATATATAGTATATAGTATATATACTATAAAAAAATATTTTATTTATAAATTGAATTACAGCCTAGTTGATGAAGGGCTCCATGTAAATACTGTTTGTTTTTAATAAAGTCCACTTGTAACCCTTTTTTTATTTTATTTTTTTTTATTTTTTAAGTCCAATCTGAGTGGAGAAGAATACAACATAATCTATTTTGTTTTTAATCCAACCCATTTATAATTGAGCCAACCCACTTATAACTTCTTTCCTTTTTTTTTTATTTTTTTTATTTTTAAACTTAAGAGTAGAATATGATATATTATTTTAACCTAAAGGAGAGAGGTCAAAGTTTATACCTAACACACGTTGATTTACTGATAGTGATTAATGACCAAAAATTGAAAATTTTCTTTTCCATTAACTCGGGGGACATGTTGGGGATAATTAACTTCCCCTAACCCACTCCACGGTTGGTTGTTGTTGAGAGTTAAATCCCACCTTCATTACACATAATAGAAGCATCACCACATGCATCACATTATCACAAGCATATATAGAGATAATAATCATTCACATCCATGCACAATACAATATTTTACATGTTTCACCCAACTCCAGGATATCTATGGAGAAAGAGATTTTCACTAATTATGAATTACGAAACAGAATATACAACCACGTGTCAAAATCCAACTCACTCATTCATCGTCTCTTTTAAGGCTACACTCAACCATTTGTCATTTCTTTTTAGGCAATATGAATACACTCGGTAATTAAATATACCCTCTTATCTCCTCACAACACTCATCCTTAAACTATTTACACATTTTATCTCTTCTCTCTCATACCCATCTTTATTTATAAAATTTTCAAACCCAATTTCTTAATGGACAAGTATTCCACAACTTGCCTATAAGGAGTTACCATATCAGTCTTCAACTCTAAAATAACAGGTACAACTTCTTTCCTATAACTTCTTTCCTAAATTTTTAACCTTTTTCCTAAGTCTTCTGGCTTCCAAAACTAATTAGGAGATTGATTTGTAGATTCCCAATATTATTCACAGTCCAACTTAAACCGATTCTATCCCTTGGAAACGGTTGAATTTTGGCAGTAGCTAAGTGTTCCACCCATATATGGAACCGGTTCCACTTAGCAGTAGCCAAGGTAAACAAAAAAATCAGTAATTTTGAGCATCACAATTCTTCACGTATGTACGTGCTCCACCTTGAACAAAGATCTTGATGAGCGCTGAAAAGTGTGTATTTAAACCCCTTAAGCTTAGGCATTATAGTACCTTTATCTATCTTACTCTACCGTTTTAGATTGATTTCGTATTATTTTCATTTTCAGGCACTTATCCCGAAAATAAGCTAACTCAGCCAAATAAGAGCTTAATTGAAGCAATTCTGGGATTAAACAAAGAAAGGAGCAAAGTGGAGAAAGAAAGAAGCAAATGAAGCCAAAGGTGGGAAACAGCAAAGTTCGATCGATCCAACTTCAAGGTTCAATCGATCGAACAGTGATCGATCTCAGTACTTCAAGATAGATTCAAACCTTGACCTAAAGCGTAAAGTCCAAAGTTCAATCGATCCAACACCATCCTTCGATCGATCGAACACTTTTGTCCTTATTCAAAATGATTGATCTTATCTAGTTGTACCACCCTACCAACCACTTTTATCCTTTTGCCAAAAATATCTTCAAAAATATCTCAAATTTGTCTTTTCCCAAAAAGCTCAACCAGTTGGATCGATCCAGCCTAAGTTCGATGGATCTTAGCCAAGTTCGATCGATCCAAGTCCAAGGTTTGATCGATCGAACTTCCTCTAGTACGAAAAAGTTAAATTTCCAGCTCAGTGAAAGTTATCCTTTATCCAATCATTAGGGAATACTGTGTGCACGACTCCAGCTCATTTTGGGTGTCATTTGACCTACCTATATAAGGATAAGGATTGCTTTTTAGAGAGGAGGCTAATATCATTTTCATATCATCTCTTGGAGAGCAAGCTTAGAGGAGGAGGAGGCTAGAGACACCATTGGAGACTCTTCATCATCCAAGGAGCAAATCTCAACCATGGAGTTAGCCCTTGAGGGTTAGAGAAGCACTACCATGAGTAGCTAGACATCCTCTTGGGGCTAAAGTTAGCCCCAAGCATGCTTTCTATATCTTAATCTTGTGTATCATTGAGGGATTAGTGTTGTAACTAATGTTTTGACACTTTGATATATATAGATCTTGATTGTTCAAT